GCAAAGTATGGCTCTGACAAGAGAAGACAGAAGACGTTCATAGATAGGAAAATAAAAAGAAAAGAAAGAGGAGAGAAATGAAAATAACAGAAAATTGAAGTGTGGCAGAAACTAGAGATTGGTTAACCCACACTTACTACAGCCCTCTTCTACTAGGAACAATCACACACATGAAGACTGGACCATGGGAGGAAGGGTTTGCTTGTCCTAGGGCAGCTGTGGCAGGTCTACTCTCTGTCCCTAGAGTCTATTAGAACACTGCTGTGACGTGGTGTAGCATTTCTTCTTCTCCATTACTTCTAGCTACATACTATTCACACATGGTTCCCTGGGACTACCAGAAAGTCTGAAAATGTTACCCAATAATATTTTCTGCTTAAAATACCTAGAATAGATTATGTTGCTTGCAGCTAAAAACCCTGTCTGATATATTTGAGAAAAGAAAGTAATGTACACTTATTTTAAGTCTGAGATTTATATTAGTACTTTATTTCCCAATAATAAGACTCTCTAAGGCCTGAGAATAACTTTAAATTATTTCTGGTACACAGTTTTTCATGTTCTTACTATATTATATCAAATGGGGGAAAGTATCCTCAGTACTATCATAATCATAGGCAGTCAAATTGTCTTTATTATTATGATCAGACTAGCAAGACAATCTAACTATCCTCCTTTAAAAATTACTTTGTTATATATGTACTTTGCAATAAAAGAATGAGAACTTTTTAATTTTACTGTCTCCTATCTTCTCCAATTTAAAAGCAAACAATTGGTTTCTATTTTGTTTGGTGACAAGCAAGTTTTATTTTTAATTTGGTAATTTGTTAATATCACCCAGACTGGTATATTTTAATAAATGCAAATTATATAAAAATAGAACAGGCACTTAGAGTAATTGCTTTATGGAAAAATTGATAACCATCTAGCTCTAAAATATACTTTTTTTGTGGAAAATTCAGAAACACCAAGAAAAGAAAGTATTTCTAGGTATTACTAAACCGTTGCTTGATAATTTTAAAAGAACAGCATAATCAGCAACACCCAGAAAAGAGAATCTACTTTATGTTTTGGTGTTTTGTTTGTTTGTTTTGCCCACGTTAGCTCTCTGGAATGGTACCTTTTACTCCTAACTTAGGATTGTCACCTGCTACACCTATTTCACACATTAGGCTTAAAAACAATGAGAAAACTTTAAGTAAAAACCCACAACAAAATGGTTGAATAGGGAAAAATAAGAATTTAGAACAATTCTTCCCATTGGCTACTCTTAATCAAGGACATGGAAAATTAACCTAAACATATTAAAATGAGGGGAAAAAATGAATTTAAATGATGCTAAAATGACCTTTCACTTCTTGATAAAAATTAAGCTGTAAGAACTATCAAGTAACTTATTTTAGCGTTTATAAGACATCAAAAATTAACAATATCATTAACTGTAACAGAAAATATAATTACTTACAACTAAGGTAATTTATTTCATAAAAACAAACATAATCAGCCACCTATATATATCTTGGCAATAGTTTCTCAAGAATTTAATCAAATTCATGACATTCACAACTATCAAAGGAAAGTTGCCGCTAGCGACCCCTCTATGCACATAACACTAAATATGGCAAATGAGCAGTAATTAAAAAAAAAAAAAAGACTCTAATAATGAGCTAAGAGGCAGCCATATTCATAGTCCCTGGACCCTCTCCCTAAAGCCCACCCAGTTAAGGATGGCAATCTGTGTGTCCAACAGCATATGTCAAAAAGCACTTAATATGACCCAGCAATTCCACTCCTAGGTATTTAGCCAAGAGACAGGAAAACATGTCCACAGAAAAATTTACACTCAAATATTCATGGAGCATCATTCATAACAGCCAAAAAATGGAAATAACCCAAATGTCTATCAACTGATAAACAAAAGTGTAGTATATCCATACACTGGAATACTACATGGCTGTAAAAAAAAAAATGAAGTACTGATATACTTGGACATAGATGAACAGTGAAACTATTATGCTACATGGAAGAAACCAGTTACAAAGAATCACATATTGCATGACTGCATTTATGTAAAATGTCTGGAATATGCAAATCTCTAGAGACTGAAAGTACATTAGTGGTAGCCTCAAGTTAGAGGGAATCAGGAATTGCAGGTTACAACTAAAGGGTAAGGGCTTTCTTTTGGAGGAGATGAAAACGTTCTAAAATTGATTGTGGTAATTGTTGTACAACTCTGTGAATATACAAAAAATGTTAAATTGTATGCTCTACATTGGTAAGTCATATAATATGTGAGTTTTATCTGAACAAAGTGTTAAAAAAGAAATTACTTCAAAACTATTCCAAATCATTAGATAAATAGAATTTTTCAAAATTTCTTCTGAGTCTTACTATCTTTGATAGTTAGTTATATATAAAATTCCAAATTTTTAATTGATAGTTCTCTTTCTACAGATATTTATGCGCTAAATATAAATTTATCACAACTATAGAGATGTTATTTTTTCCACCATACAGCACCTTTAGCAAAATTAGAATAATTACCCATAAAGGAAATGATTTACTCTACCCCAAAATTTAATCAATGTAGCTTGCCTTCAAGTTCATATTAATCAATTTAATTAGTAGTCAATTAAAAATTAAGATCAGATATATTTACTTAATGTCTGGTAGCCAGAATAAATTTAACATGCCAAATAACCAAGAAACTTTCCAACTAATGAGTCAATCATGTCATTTACCTAGATGAAACTTGGCTTTGTTCTTAATAAGTCATTCCTCAACCCTTCTCTCAGAGTTTAAGACCTCAAGCGATATAATACTGTTGTAAACAAAAAGAAAGGAACCCAGTTTTACAAAGGTATTTTAAACTTTTTATTGTTATAACTGACATAGAAAAGATTCATAGAAAGTTGCAAAAAAAAATGAAAGTAACTGTTCAGCTTTACTAAGTTTCTTTTAAGTTTATTTGCTTTTATTTAGTTTTACAAAGGTATTTTAAACTTTTTATTGTTATAACTGACATAGAAAAGATTCATAGAAAGTTGCAAAAAAAATGAAAGTAACTGTTCAGCTTTACTAAGTTTCTTTTAAGTTTATTTGCTTTTATTAATCTTGTGGTGAATAAAGCCTGGGGCCACATGAAAAAGGAACTAATAAAAGCACTAGATGACAATGGACCAACCAGACAAGGGAAAAACACAAGAAGAGAAAAGAAAAAGAAGAGAGATAGGAAAGAAAAGAAAAGGAGAGAAGGGAACAGGGAGCTGGGAGAGGAGGTGGGAGAGAAGAGACAGAAGGAAAAAGAGACAAAAGGAGAAGGAAGAGTAGGAAAACAAGGGTTGTGTGGATTGCATGTCCCTCCCAAAACTCACTGAAACTTGACCTCCACTGTAACAGTGCTAAGAGGATGGGAAATCTGAATATGGTCTTTGAAAGGTAGGGCCTTTTAAGAGGTGACTGGATCATGAGGACTCTGTCCTCATGAACAGATTAATCCATTCATGGATTGATGGGTTGATGGTTTAGTGGGTTATCATGAATTTGGCGTGGTAGCTTTATAAGGAAAGCACAATTAAAGAGCTCTTGCCTTTCCCACCATGTGATACCCTGCACTGTCACAGGATTCTGTACAGAGCCCCCACCAAGAAGAAGGCTCTCACCAGATGTGCCTCCATTACCGTGGCCCTCCTGCCATCCAAAAATGTAAGAAATAAATTTTGTTTCTTTATAAATTACCCAGTTTCATGTATTCTGTTAAAAACGACAGAAAATGGACCAATTCAGACGATAACGGTACATGAATTAAAAGTCCCTAGCACACCAAGTACCTGAAGGTACAGGGTCTATGTCAGAGATGGAGAACCCACTCCAGACCCCAACTCCAATGCTCTCTGTCTGACAAGCCCAGAATGAGTGAAGAGGGGCTCTTTTCCAATAGTTGGACCCATGCAATAGGGACCGTCTACTCAGATCCTCAATTCTGCCTACTGCTGAAACAAATCACAACAGGGTTCCTCACTAGCCTTTCACAAACACCGTCATCTAAAAAGTCATAATAAATTGATTAGTTTCACAGTTCCTAACATCTTCTGATTTTTCTTCAAATGCCATCTGTTTATTTTTTTAATTTTTAACTTTAATTTTTTAAATTTAAGATTTGGCTCTTCTAGTCCTATCATACCAATAAACAAAATGGCCAAGGTGCCCAGAGCTCTAAAAACAATAAATAAACACCATAACTTTTCATTTTATTAAATGTGAAACAGATTTATGTCATCTATTAGCACATTGATTTCCAAACTTTGTTGCACATTAGAATAACCTTAGGAACTTTTTTTATAACTCCCAATGGCCAGTTCACAACCATGTCAATTAAATTTTAAAAGTCTGGAGGTGAAAATCAGGTATCAGTAATTCTCTTTTAAAAATGCTCAGGTTTGATTAGCAATGATTATAACAATAGTTACACCAATAAAAATCTCTTTTCTCTTTTTTTTTAAAGAAAATTTAAATGAATATTATTCAGTTTAAGTCTAAAGATGACTTTTAGAAGTATATTATTTTTGAAAATATCTATAATATTGAGTTTTTATTATTATGCATGTAAACTCAACTTTTCAGGTATGAAAATTAAAACAATGAGAAGCCATAATTCACATAATGGTAAAACTTCCTAAAAATTATAATTACTGAGGCTAACATAGAATAAACAATTCACAGGCCTATAACCATATCTTTTACAGGGAAATTTAGCAATTCTACTGCTAGAAAAGTAAACTAAGGAATTAATCATGGGTTTGTGCCAAGATGTATCCAGAAGATAAAGTACATAGTACAAACTGGGAATCTATACATTCATTAAAAATGATGCTATAAAAGAATATTAAATAGCATTCAGAGTTTATAACATTATTTACATATAAGCCAGGCACAAACAGTTATAAAATAGTATGTATTATATGTTACTTAAAAATGGATTTTATATACATGAAACTTACTTGCAGTTGAACAGAATTATGACAAAGGCCTTCCACAATACAAGAAAATCTATCAATTCTTCTTTCTTCTCCAGCTGAAGTTAAAGCTTCTAAAACTTCTTCAAGGCTATTGGAAAGTTTTAATCTATTAATTAAATTGCAAGGAGCAAATAACACAAATGCCATAATACAACTCGGTCATCCTACTAAAGGAGTTAATACTCCCAGGCAACCAATAATATTTTATATAAGTAGCTTACTGAGTACCCAGCATGTATCAAGCACTGTTTTAAGTATGTTATGCTTTAATTCATTTATCCCTGACAATAACCCTATGGAGATGTTTATTTATCAAGCATTTATATAATGCTTACTACACAAAAGGCACTATTTGAACCACTTTACAAATTTTAACTCATTTTAAAGTATATAACAAATGTATTAGTTAGGTACTATTATTAACTCATATTATACATTATGACAGTAAAGCAGAAAAAGGTTAAGCAACTTGCCCAAGGTCTCACATCTACTAAATGGCAGAGCATGGATCAGAAACGAGTCTGTGTGGTGAGCACTATATATGTTCTTAAATTTGAGACACATTAGAGTCTGGTTAAGTAAATGAAGTTATCATAGCCAAAAAACACAGTAGTAAGGTATCATTCAAACATAAATTATAATAATCATGCAAGAACTATACTTCTTCCTCTTTTAAAGAATAGTTATTTTAACAGTGCATATCTAGCTATAGAAGCTTACAGCTTGTGAACATAGGCGTGTAGTCCTAAATGTTACTTATGTCATTTGATACCCATTCTAAGTGAAGAAACAATAAAAATAATACAGAAGAGGAGGAAGGAGGAGAAGAAAAAAGAGGAGGAAAAGAAAAAGAGGATAAAAAAAAGAGAAGGAAAAGGATAGAGAGTAAAAAAGGGGCAAAGGAAAAGAAAAGGGAAGGAAGACGGGATAGAAAAAGGGAGGAAGAGCCCAGGAGGAGAGGGGAGGAAGAGAAGGAAAGGGGAGAAGAGAGAGGAAGCAATAAGGAGAAGAAAAGGATGAGGGAAGATGGAAGAAGGAACAAAAGGGGGAGGAGAAGCTCAGAGAGTACCATATTATCAATATATAATTCACTCAGATTTTCACAGTAAAATGTACATAGCCATTTTTAATTGGGAAAGAAAAAGTACTGAAGCTGTATGCCTGGCTTTGCATGCTTGGGACTGAAGCTGGGTATAGCCAAGCCTCCTCTATACATACACACTGTAAACACACATTGAGGATGAAAAGCCACGCTGGAGTGGTGCTTTGACTCTCCAACTAGGGCCATCAAACTGAGCCTGCTGAGTCTACCAGCTCAGGAGGATCTCCACAAGACTAATCTTCACATGAATGCAGGAAGCTTTACTTATAGGGCTCTGCCTACCTTTACATGAGAGCGATATTTCTGTTAGTTCTTTTGTTGTTCAGTTTTTTACATTTTTTTCCATTTTAGTAGGCATTTTAAATAATTTTGAAATGCTTCCTTATAATTACAAACCAAACCTTCTTTAAAAAGGAAAAAAAGGTTTATCTTTATAATTATCTTAATACGCATGTAATGGTCTTTTACTTATAGCCCTAACAAATGCGACTAAGGTCTTTAAAGCTTTAGTATGTACTTTATGATCAATGACTTTGTATCTTCAGCCAGTAAAGTACTACTACATATATCACTTTCTAAATCTGCCTTACAAATAGATTTTCAAATAATAATATGTTTGCTTTCACAAAGGGGATATGCATGACCTACAGATAGAATTCTACCTGGGGAAAAAAAAAAAAATCAGGTAAGAAACAGAACCCATTTGTATATTTCTCAAAGTCTTCATTTAGAATTTTTATTTAGGCTTTTAGTCTAAAACCATTTAAAATAAATATGAAGAAGGAATCAGTATTTTGTAGAAATATTTTAACTCCTAATATATTAAGAGAAACAATTATTATTCGAACATTTTTGTTCAGCCAATAAGAATCTAAAGCAACTGCTAAAATATAGTTCAACATTTAATAAAATTCTACTCTAAAGTAAAAAAGGTAATAAAACATTACATGAATAAAATTGTATTAATATAAAACTAGAGAAAAAAGTTGAGAACACTTACATGCTTTCCTCCCCTACAATGCATACTGCAGAGAGAAGTTTAACCACATCTGTCATCATACTGGGGTGCTTAGGATCCATGGCTTTGGCCAATAAGGAAAGACTCCTCTCTTCACTCATAATCCTTTCCAAGCCATACTATAATATTTTTGAAATAAGAGGTTAAATGTTAGGAGTTGGTTGGGAAAACAGTGCTGTGAAGGAAATGTAGTTATTCAGAAATTTTTATAGGATAATACAGTTTTATACCTAGGAAAGCCTGAAAATATAATGACTGTATAGCACCCTAAAAATCTCATATAAGTATTCACTTTACGTCAAGAACTATGAGAATAAACAAATTACCCCTCAATGGTGATTTTACAACAATATAGCTGATAATTATTAAGATAGGTAAGTGGCCAACTGGAGAAAGCAAGAAACAGTGAAAATATGGGATTTCCCAACATACAAAACAAACAGCTAGATATTGAACCAAATACTGAGGCCATGAGAATCTTTTGCTGGAAGGAAGGTTGGTAAGGGATATATTACCATAAGTAAACACACAGATTCTCACTGTCCAAGAGAAATACAATGTGACCACATGTAACTTCAAGTAACAGGTAAAACTGTTTTCAGTAACATGAATCCATACCTATATATCCAAAATATCATCATTTCAACACGTAAACAATGTAAAGCTGTTTTTTTTTTTTCTTTTTGGCAGCTGGCCAGTACAGAGATCTGAACCCTTGACCTTGGTGTTATCAGCTAATATAAAGCATTTATTGAAGAGATGTATCACTTTTTCTCCCTAAGTATTTGAAATCCAGTTGTATTTCACACTTATAGCACACCTCAATTCCGACTAGCCACATTTCAAGTGCTCAAATGCCACATGTGACTACACAGCGCAGGCCTAGATATTAACACCTAGTTCATAAATAAGAAAAGATAAAGAATGATTTGGGCAGATACCATGTAAAAACTGCCATAATGAGTATATGTATCCTAATCAGAATGGTACTTATCATCAGGAAGACAATGCAGTTGTAAACACATTATATACATGGGATGATTTGGGATATGGATAAAGTTTGTTTGCTACTGCCAGGATGTCACATCCAATTAGAAGATAAGGAGTTGTGTTAATTACATAGTGTTTTGATTTAAGAATGTATATATCTCTAAGGCCCACTTACAATCTATGGAAGATAAGTATCAAAATACAGAGGATAAACAGAAACAATAAAACAGTACTATTTACCTAGCATGCATCTTGAGGACCCTTCTAAAGAATGAGAAATTGGTTGATCAGTTCCCAGTAAGCACTAAAAAAGGACCTTAATACCAATTACAGACCTATGAACTATGGCTTAAACTCAAAACGAGCACTACATATAAGCATAAAACTTGAATCTACAACAAGCTTAGACTCAAATTCTTTGCATATTGTGAAATCCTGTTTTTAAATTTCTTATCTTACATATAGCATTTATGCAAAGTAACCATCACACTGCCGAAATATTTCATTTGCTTTAAATCACTGTCTAAGGAACACAGGAACAACGGAGGAAGTACAAGCAGAAGGGCCAAGGGCCCCAGGCTATGACTTCTGGAGAGATCTCTCAGTCTTGGTGACTGTGGAAAATTTGCAAAGACAGAGCTAAACCAGTCAGGAAATGCTCACTCCTGTGATGCCCTGGGCTGTTTTGTAACTGGAAACAAAGAATAAAAAAACAGGTATTTGGCCAAAAACCACAATATGCTTCGACAACCATTCCAGAAAATTGTTAACAGCTTATAAAGACCCACTTATATCCAGTTCAGAAAGCCAATCAGTCAGTGATTACCAAGTATCAGAGAGGTGGTTCTGTCCTAATAAACCTGAGGATTGAGTAAAGCTTGTCTCCGGCATTTCCTCTTCGTTTCCCACCCACCCAGCTGTCTTTAGCCAGTGCCTGCGCTTCTCCAATCACAATCCTGTGGCTCCTCCTCCATCCACTCAAGGCGACTCAAGCTGAATTCCTCCAAGTGATACTACCTACATTCTCTGGCAAGCCCTCCAGCTCTAAACCATCGTGTGTGAAGGTAGAATGTGAGCATTTCCTGATTTTTCGATTTTGGCCATCATCCTGTGACCCCTAAGTCCATCACAGGCAGCATTCTCTGATTTTGCTAATATAAAAATGTGTAGCACTCATTCTAAGACTAGAACAAGGCCAGGTTACCACTACTCAGTTTCTATAACTAAATATAAAAGTGCTACATACTTGTATAAAATTATTCTCATTTAATTATTTAAAAAACAAAACAAAACAAAAATAAACAAAACTGTTGACTCTGTGTGAGAAATAGTCAACTTACCAGTGCTAGCATTAAAGGACATTTAGTGAAGGCCATTATATGATAGAGAGGTGTGAAAAGTTTTGCGAGGTCTAAGGTTATATCTTTCCTGAATGTCAAGGACCCACTCTGGGTAATATGATAAGCCTGTTCTTAACTGAGGACCAATGCCAGGTTCCATGTGCATTCTACATGAGGCCTATTATTACCTAACAGATGGAATTTCAGGCCACTGAAGACGGTATATTAGGTAGGAGAAGGTGAATATCCTAAATCTTTGTGTGGGATGCCCAACTTCTGAGCCCACATGACATGAATACTGATGCTGAGCAACTACCCATAGTGAGTTAATCTCTGCAGCAGAGAAAACATGGGTAACAGAACTGGCTTCAGGAGCAAGGCACTCTTGCTTTGGGTGCATGCCTGAAATCAACACATAAAAAGTTAACTGACCGAAATGAAGCCTCTGTTCTAATTATCTTCGAATAGATTATCTTTTCCACCTTACTATCTTTTATTTTCCTCCTCCTAGGTAATTAAAATCTTTCATTTTAAAAATACTTTTAGTCCAATTTAGTGTTAAGAAATTCACCTTCATGTGATGCTATTAAATTTGCTCATTATATTAATTACGTAATTAATTACTGGAATCAAATAAGGTACTACATTTTTTTCCTCTTAAAACCTATATTTTCATCATTCAGTGAATTCTAGTAAAAGACTGCACAATAAGATTTAACAAAATTCATACTTGTAGACTTCATCAAATAAAATTTAGGACAACCATCAACCAATTTTCAAAGGAAAAAACCCTTACCAAAATTTTCTAATATTATTAAGTTTAGAGTTCAGACATTTTAATACTAAGTATTGGTAATTTAAATTAACTTTTTATTTTTATTAGCACAGATGATAGCACCAAATACAAATGGCAATATTTTATAGCTCTACATACACAAACTATGAGCAACAAATCTGCTAATATAAGATAATGAATAATATATTAGAATATAAATACATAAAGTTTGCTACTCCAATTCAATCTCAAGCCAAGTAGGAGTATTATCTTCTATATACCACCTCACTTTAACCATGATATTCTTCTCAAATTCAAATTATAATGCACATGCCCTTTTGGTTTGAAAAAATGTCTCTGGGTTTTCTCTACTCTTAGCCTTTCCATCACTATGAAGTTTGCAGTTTCTGTATTCTCACTCTAGAAGGGGCATTCTAAAGCAGTTCTATGTACTCAGTGGAGAAAGACTGCTCCTTATTTGCAGTTTCTTTATTCATTCACTCTTAAAACAGATTATACAAAAAGCTACTTAATATATCTAAAATATAATTCTAAAAACAGAGATGTCAGTACAGAAAGGACTTGTAATTTTTACATCAGATATTTTCCTTGAAAAGCATATCTGATTGGAGAGGGCAAAATGGAAATAATATTTCATTGGTTAAAAATAGAAAACTTTCCAGAAAGTGCTTAAAAATCTATAAACAACTCAATAAGACAAAAATAATTAAAAAATATAAATATTTGTTTCACTTAGTAAAAAGAAACAAAATAAATGTTAATAATTTAAGTACTCTATACTAGTATTTAAGCATTGTAATCCTCTAAGAGTTTATTTTAAAAATAAGGAAAAATATTATAAATTAAAATTAATCAGAAAAATACAGGTAGTTTTGCTAAAAAACAAAAATCATCATACCACCACAGGAAAAATATTCTCCCCTGCTGTCTAACAGCAACTTAAACACCTATCATTACTTCACACATCATGAGACAGATGTGTTTAGATGCTGAAGCTAAAGAAATGGAATGGGATAATGTTAATTTCTGCAATAAACAGTATAAAAGCAAACAAGAAACAGTGTTAGATAAACCTAACTTCAATAAAGACCTTTAAGGATTTCTCCCTTCTAATGTAACCTCTTTAAATATGCAGATTCTACAGATCCTCCATATTATGTTTGGACCCCATATTACTTGGATTAAGCAGCATTGTTCCATTTCTGTAACCTGCTCATATCTGTGTACATTTATTTCATTACTGAGTTTAAATTCCTAGAATGTAACAACTAAGTCTTTCCAATTTGAATCTTTGGTAATAAGTATTACTGCAGACTACATTTAGTAATCATGTATGATTTTAAAGTTGGCTCATGGTAAACTTTTGAAAGTTAAAAGAGAGAGAAAGGGAGGGAAAAAGATGGAAGACAAAAAAAAAAAGAGGGAAGAAAGACAGGGAGGGAGGGAGGAAGGAGAAAGGAGAGAAGGACCGAGAGAGAGAAAATTATGCATGAGAAATAATTAAGCATAATTAAAGGATCCATTCATTCCCAACTCAGAGGGAAGAAAGACAGGGAGGGAGGGAGGAAGGAGAAAGGAGAGAAGGACCGAGAGAGAGAAAATTATGCATGAGAGAAAATTATGCATGAGAAATAATTAAGCATAATTAAAGGATCCATTCATTCCCAACTCTCTCCTGTTGCAAGAGAGTTTACACTAGAATTCAATAGAATTCAATATTTTTTCCACCATGTAATGAAAAGCACATCAGAGCAATACATCATTACTTTAGTGCAAGTGAAATCATATATCACAAAATCTAATTCATATAAGAAGTGGTGATGGACAAATACTAATTACCTATATACATACCTGAGTATTCATCAAGGCCTTTAAACACTGTATAACTTTATGTTGATTCTTCTTTACAACTTTTTCTTGGCTGTATTGACATAAAAGATATCAGTGTTGGAATTATAATTGGATTTACAAGTGTAGCTTAGTTGAAAATAATTATTAGCAATACTTACATTTTTCCACTAATCAGTTTTTCCAAAATATCTAGTAATAGTCCAAGACCCTCATGTCCGAAGCTTTCCACCCAACTGAAAAATGGGGGGAAAAAACTAGTTTACACATTAAGTCAGTATTCTAGTTCGGATGATCACAATAATGCTAAATGCCCACAAGTATTTTACACTTGGTTATATTCATAATCATAATTACAATATAAGAATAACACCATATACAAAAATCATTCATGACTCATAATCTTAACAGTGAAAGGTACAAAGATGGGATAAGAAAATAGCATGCCAAATTCAGATTGCACTGACTTGTGAGAGCTGATTATGCCCATCTCTTCCATGCTCTTTGTTCAGTGATTTCATGATGGTAGCTTGAAATCAGCTGCGGTAAAAGTTTTTACACCACAGAAATTTGCAAATGCTACCAATCAGTGCTTCCCCCACACACCAGAGCTGGCTGTAAAACATTTACCAGCCCACCACTGGATAAGCCTCATTTTGGACTGTTGCTAAGATCAGAAATTAGACAGGTGAGTAAAAAGATCTATAAAGGGAAGACGCAAATCAACAAAGAAAAAGATTACTAATAAAAATTAATCAAAATAATGAAAAGAGATTCTTCAGGAAAATTTCCCAAATCACGAAAATGCATCCCTATAAATGTTAAGAATTCCCTAAATTTCAAAGTTCATTTGCTTAACAAAAAGAGCTCCATCATTATTTCTTAAATGAATATTTCCATCATAACTAAATCACACCTGTTCCATAAACCCATTAATCCAATCATAGCTCTTCATGTAATGAGGACATCAATGCCATTACACAACAGCTTGCCTTGATTATAGAAAAACTACCTTGGTAGAAATGAATATCTTTACTCAGTGGTGCTTTGGAAAACTAGGCCAATAAATAATGATAATAATCTGTCAAAAAAATGGGGGAGAAAAGATATGATGTGTATGTGTATATTTCTTTTAATACATGTGTTGGTATGCATGATTTTATATGTGTGTGTAGTAGTGGAACAATAAAATGTTGAAAACAAAATTGCATTGAATAACCAAAACATTATAAATAAAAACAAGTTTAAGTTGCATACCAGAAAATAATACTATTTTCTTACTTAAATACTATATAACATTTCCAATGAAAAGAGAATAAAAACCAAATACAACATATTTATATAAAAAACACAAATGTTATTTAAAATCCATCTTCTTCATTTGAACACTTCTGTGAACACAGCTTAACGACCTATAAATGTTCAGAATTTCTGATTTTACAAAGAAAGGAAAGCAAGAAATTTGTTATGTATATTGGCAGTGTCTAGTCAGACTATTTTACTCATCTCCTCTTTGTCCAGTGAAAACAATAAAATAACTAATTTAAGAATACACTTAAACAGGAAAGATACACCCCTAGAAAAGATCAAAGATTGCTATTATAGTGAAAATGAGAAAAAAAGTTAAATAGAACGTGCTGTTTTCAAACCAGGATGCTACTTCAAAAGTGAAGGGTTTACTCTCCACTATCAGCAACAGATTACCTGTAGGCATTTCAAATCTTGCTTTCATGTTTCATGAAAACACCCACAGCAACTCGTTTAACTGTTCACCTTGTTGACATCCTATTCTGTATTTATTCTTACTTCACATGCAGCAGGGAAGCTTGAAATCAAACATACGAAGAGTAATTTGAGAGTCTTACTTGAGCTGGTAAGGAGATGCATGGAGAGAGTATCCCTTCATCAGGCCCTCCTTGTGTTAGCACTTCACAGTGGGCCTTCAATATTTCTTTAAAGTGAATTTTCAACAATCTCTACATTCAAAAGTATATTCATAAAGATATTCTAAAGCTAATATAAATGATTTAGGATTATTCATATAGCTGTCACTTTCAATCACTGTGGAGAATAAATGATTTTACTGTTCATAAAACTGCCTTACACTAAAATATACAAAGTAATTTTAAATCATGTTAATATAACAAAAAGACTTTGTTGCACTTAATATGCTCATGTTGTGACCCACTATAAAATTCAGAAAGCATACCAATCCATGTAAATCAGTAAGTTCTCTGCTCTGAGTAATGAATTATAGAATTAATTATAGATATAGAATTATCACTCCTATCACAACATTTATAACTAGAATAGTGATACCCACAGAAGGCCTCAAATCAACTATTTGTAGGGCCACTAGATAATGCTCTTCTAGACTATAGAATATGAATCATTAAAATTTATGCACACTTATGTATATTATGTATTAATTAATTCTCTATAAAACAAAACTTATTAAAATTGCAAGAAACATTATACCAAATCACTTTACATTACACTCTTTTAATTCATTGTGGGAATTCATTTCTCAACAACAATAAAATCAGAGAGGTGGACAACAGCCTTCTGAAAAGCAGGTCACACTGTACATTTCATAAGATATATCAAAAACCAGAATAGTGGGATAGGGTGCAGAGAGAAGAAACTAAGACGCTTTATAACCAAAGAAACAATATAATATTTAAACATAAAAAGAAAGCTGATGAAAGTACTTTTTGAAAAGGTAACGTAATATATATTTTTTTTTGTCTTTTTTTTTTGTGACCGGCCGCACCACACTCAGCCAGTGAGTGCACCGGCCATCCCTATATAGGATCCGAACCCGTGGCGGGAGTGCCACTGCACTCCCAGCGCCGCACTCTCCCGAGTGCACCACGGGGTCAGCCCAGTAACGTAATATTAAAACACAAATTGAATATGCATAAAAAGTCTCCCTGTTTTCTTAAAAATTTGCAAGGCCAACATATTGTTGTATTAACAAGTCATCATTAACAAATCCACGCTCTCAGTGTTTCACCCCTACTATTTTCGGCAATATTTTAAGGACGGGGCACAAACATCGCTTCCTATCTCTTCTGGAAAAGATGTTCAAGATAAAAAGTGATATTGAATACGTAGGTCTGCGGTCTTGACAGAGGTTTATTGAAGTCCATAGCTTTCTACAAAAGTGAAAAATTTCTCATCATCAGTATAAGAAGCAATCTGGAAAAAAAAATTATCAACTGATCTATAAATGATCAATCTTCAGGAAACAAAATCTGTACTATTTGTTCTGTGCCTGTCAGCACAGCACAATCAGGAATTATGTGGTTTAACTAAAAACCGCATTCATGGATGAATAAGCACTGTGCAAATGTTTCTTCTTCATGAATAGAAATGACATAGAGATCAGTACGGCATTTGTATTGGAATAAATTGCTTTAAAACATCAGAAAGTGATGTGCTAAATACTAAGCACAAAATCTACCTCTTAAAATTCTGTAATAGGAAATACCATACTCTTCTAATAACATCAAAGAAAACTTCTCAATATTACCACTTAGCACTTCCTAGTAGGGGTTTCAATGTAGGATAAAAGAAGAGGTGAAGAGGTAATAAACTAAAAAAGGGGGGTAGGGGGATGGGGGGAAGACAGGTCTCTAGAATTACAATGTTCCAACAGCTTAGGTTTTGAAATTCAGTTGTTTCCAGAGACAGAGGATGAACTCAAAAGTGTGTAAAATGGTTTCTGGCATATTGTTGGCTTTAGGAAATAAACAGTCACCTCACTGAGCAGCAGAGGCAATAATCAGGTCTCAGATTTACCTCTTGGTCAAAAGTAACAAAGCACTATCAAGTATGTTTCCCACAGACTGACCCTCCCACGCTTACTCAGTTTTATTTAAAGTTATTACCTCTCTTCCCAGATGTATTCTTAGGAAGGGAAAGATGCATTTGTCTTTCCCTTATCAGCGCTGGAACAAACCTACCAAAATCATAAGAGCAACCTGACCTGACAAATACTCCTTGAGGATAGGGACCATTTCTTATTTGTCTTATTTGTTCCAGCACCTGGGATAGACTAGACGCTCAACAAATGGTTTTAGAATGAAACTGAATCCCCTTCCATTGTTATACATAAAAAGGGGGACATGCAGAGAGAGGTTAAGGTCACTTAGAAATAGCATGTAGGTCTGCTGATACCAAGGCTTATGGCCTTATTTTATATATGTAAAAAAAAAGACACAAAGAGATGACATGTACTATGCCTGTCTCAACCTTTATGTTAGAAACATCAATTCTGATTTCAGAACCAGTACCTATCCACACTGAACCAAGAATGATGAATCTGAAGCTTCTGTCCTACATCACACTTTAGGATGCTGCTCAAAGAGTAAATCTTCATTATTACTAAAACTCAAGTGTTCATTAAGCAAGTCAGTCAGCCTTTATTAAGGGTTCACTGTGTTCTTGATAATGCACTAGGCATGAGAAATACAAAACTGGAAAAAATACATTCTCTGCCCTTGAAAAGATCACAAACTAGTGGTTGAAACAAATGTTGAACAAAATTATTTCCCATGGTGCTATGGGAACAGAAGCTACAGTATCTACCTCTCTTGGGAACTTCAAAGCAGCTGATATTTGACCTGAGTCTTGAAGGTTAAGTCACAGAAAGGAAGAAAGGTTTCTAAGCAGGAGAGAATACACACAAAGACATTAACAATAAAAGATATGGCCTGTGCTGAGCACCACAGGTAGCTGTATGGGAGATAAAACCAAACAGGTAGGAAAGGGCTTGATCTTGAAAAACCTTATATACAAAGCCATGGACAATGGAAAGCCATTAAAAGACTAGGCTTGGGTGGTAGGCAGAGTAATCCCACCCTTGCTCAAATAAAAGGTGTGCACATCCTAACCTCAGAATCTATGAATAATTCCCCACATAGCAATGGGGGAATTATGGTTGCAGATGGAATTCAGGTGGCTAATCAGATGGTCTTAAAATAGGGAGATTACCCTAGATTATCCAGGTGGGTCCATCGTAAATCACATGAATCTTAAAAGCTGAAACCTTTTCTCAGCTGAGTTAGAGGGACAGATGAAAGAAGGGAGAAAGATTCAAAGCATTAGAGGAACTCAACCCACTTTACTCGTCTTGAAGATGGAGGAGGGGGAATAAAGTGAAACATAGGTGGACTCTAAAAGCTGGAAATGACCCTCAACTGACATCTAGGAAGAAAATAGGGGTCCCAAT